ATTATCACCGAAACATCGAGATTATTCAAGTAAATACGCGCGCCAATCGACCAGGCGCCGAAAGTTCGAAGGTAGGGCTTCTAGAAAGCTTAGTTCTTCATTTCGATACTAGATGGCGCTGTCGGTTGAAAGATTAGTGATGTCATTTTCTGGAAAGCTCTCCTCGCTCTGTTACCCGACACAGATGGCGCTAGTGCCAGACGTCAACTTAGGCGCGCAACAATATTGTGGTTGTAGCACGAATGGGTCGGCTCGACCGGGGTAGGACAATGCTCTAACAGAATACCAGCGTGAAATAGCAGCTGAATGCTGCTGTGTTTCGTATGGAGAGTGTAGAGAACCGGAGACCCTATTTTACCGCAACTGAGGCATTCCATCTCAGTCCTCAGGGGTGACAACGCATCTGCATTGATTCTCAACTGAGGATAGATGTAGACGTCATGGGCTACAGCATTCATTTACCATCAGGTGGATAGTGTGTACTCACTTGTCACCCCTATTCTATTTAAAAAATAACTGCAAACTGGTGTTCTGCTTGCGGGAGCTGGTCTGCGGTCGCTATGCACTGATAAGTTCCTAATTTTAATGGTCTTTATTAGTATATTACGAAACATGCTTTAGTTACCCATGGGTTTATTAGTATACTCCATTATGTAATTATACTATACTTTTCTGAAATGTAGGTAAGCTTTATCATAATACGTAAGTGTACGAATATGATATAGCACGCAGAAAAATCGAAATAAAACAAAAATATGCTATGATAGTATAATCCAAAAATATAATGTTATACATAACATTGTTTCACATTAATAGCTATGCCAAAGGATAGCACTCAAACTATCCTTTTCCTTACAAAGTATATTCTACATATTACTTACATTTAATGCACGACACCTTCGAACTACCAATATACATATGTACACAAATCATTAGACACTTCGTAAAGTACAGATATCACGAATATGCTGAAAATATATAATTTTTATAAAAATCGGAACATTCAATATAAAAAAACATGAAAAAGAGACAAAATTTTCAACCTTGTGGAACTTTGATTCTTGTAAATTTAACAATTCGTGTATTGTATCAATAGTACAGGCCAGACAGAGTTTTACAACAAAACGTTTATTTCATGTCATATTTTATTTGAAAATACTTTTATGAAAAGGAAAGATTGAATTTGGAACATTCGTGTTGTTGTACAACAAAAAACACGAATGTTCCAAACTCAATTTTTCCTTTTCATTTTAAATATTGTGTTTCATTAAAAATGTTTTTGCGGCGAAATAATATGTGCGCGATGATTTTTTACGATTTTAAGTATCGTCTAAAATCAGAAGAATCGTTTGATGGACTTCAAACGGTATTTATGGATATAACAACCGTGTACCGCTATTGTACCGAATTTCAGCAATGTGAACTAACATTGAGAAATGAAGAAAGAAGCGGTCGGCCTACGACAGTTTTTACTAAGGTAAACGTGCTAGCAATGAAACAATTAAATTAAGGCAGATTGATGATGTACAAAATGATTCTGCACATATTATAGATTGGATAAGGAAGCGACTACACAAACACCTTCACGTAAGGAGGATAGTTTCACGTTAGGCCCAGCACAACCACACCGATGCTCTCGTGGATTAGTGGCGTGACATGATTACCAAATTTGAAGCAAACTAGTCTAGACGTGTTTGCGAAATAATTACAGATGATGAATCTTAGCGAAAGTCTCCGCGAACTACTGCTTCACCATTACTGCGATCAAAACGAGGGACTGCCCGAAAAGCAAACCGGCTAAGCTTTTAGGTAATCCTCCTTACAACCCCGATTAAGCAATTTTGAAGATGTGCTAACAGCGTTCGAACATGCCGCAGAAGAGGAGTCTAAGACGGACTGAAAAGTGTTTCGAAAATTGGTTCAGACACATGAAACCTATATAACATTAGTATCGAGATGTTATTGAAGGAAAACTTTGAAAAGATTTGATAGTTAAAAATTTAATCAAAGATTTTTTTTGTTTGGTAAAATTTTCTTAGTATTTTGTATGTTAAGTAATAAAAATCAAGATTCATATTCATATATTAAGTATCAAAATTAAAAGTAAGTTTTCTTACTGATTTTTAAATGCCTATAATTTTAAAATAACATTAGAAAGTACGGGTATCAAAAAAAATTTTTTTGATAACTCTCCACCAGGACTAACTCGTTTCCGGCTTGATGTTGATTGTTGGGACATTCTGTATAGGTAGTTAGTGTTTTACTCGTTAATAATACCTTTTCAAATGTATAAAATATATCACTTAACGAAGTGACTAATGATCCTACTACCTGGGTATATAATATAAACTTATTCATCCAACTAAGTTTACTTTTTGTTATTTTTAAAATTTAGTGACCGGAAGTTCAGCTGTATATAGTCACATGACGATTCACGTGACTACAAGTGCAGCGAAAAGGAAGAGTATAATCGATCGAAATAAAATTTGTCACAGATGGGTCAAATTACAATTAATGATTTTTCTGATGAACAAGAATATGTTATTTATCCAGTTATTGGAGTAATTAATTTGGCTTATCATATAAACATTTTCAAAAAAGTAAAAAATAAATACCAGAAATTAACGCATAATAGTTTACTGTAACAAACTAATACAAAATGTGTGTAAATTAATAAATTATTATTAAGATCGATCGCTCGATAGTCGTGCTATTATAATTTTGACTAGTAAGCACCAATTGACTATAACTCCTAACAAAATTATTTACAATATTTCTTGCTTTGTGGCTAATAAAATTTAGCCAACAAAACAACTTCGGTTAGACAAACAATATTAGCGTTACGAAATATTTTAAGTTGACTACTGTACACAGAACAAACAAATAAAAGTTTTGAGCGGCATCGAAATCAGTTCAAGCCTTATTAAGAAGCAATAAAACAATCAAAAAATGATATTAAGTCTAATAGAATTACTGAAAAATTAATAATCACTTTCGAGAAAAGAAAAAATTCCACCATAAATTATAAATGTTTTGTTTATGCTCAAATATAAGCTTATAAAATACATTTGTATATGGAGTATCGTGTTACCTTAGTTTTAAAGGATATTAGTTGAATAATTACAATAATTATAATAACTCTAACACGTTTATGCATCCAATACTAGTGTTATTTCAAAGCAAAATTCGGTGGTACTCTTAAATATATTTTGTAAATATTTTTATGAATATTTTTTATTCGTCGTCACGAATCACGAATCATGGAATTTCAATTGTTCTCGCCACTAAGCATCATTAGCCATTCATTCAATATTTTCCTTGTACCTGTGTGAAAAAATAACAATAATTAAATGAAATATTATAAGAACCGGCTATCATAGAGGTTTCTCTGGGTGATGAAATCCGAAATAAAAGTATCCGCAATAGAATTAATGAAACCGACAAAGGACAAAAAACTGAAAAATGAAATGATAATTACCAACTCAAAACACATCATCTCTCCTCTCTGCTTTGGAGGATAACCACCCAATAGCGATTAAAGCTAAGCTTTTGATGAAGTGTAAAAACCCTCTTTAAATAACTAAAATTAATAAAATAATTAAAGCATAATAGCTTCTGAAGTTGTGATAAAAATAGTTTATACTATATATATATATATATACTTATTTTATTATTTTCCTGGACTACGAAATATCACAAGCTCAAGTTAACCAACTGTAATAGTATAAATATTTACACAAAAAAATCACCTTTATTATTTTTACACCCTTTAGCTAAAGAGTATTTAATTAAAAAAAAACATTAAAATCGGTTCACAAATGGCAAAGATCGCGTAACAAACATACGAAAAAAACACAATCGAATTGTGAATTCTTTTTTTTTCAGTCAGCAAAAAAATCATAACTGGTGGAATTGCGTATGCTCTTTTTTTAAGTCGGCTAAAAAACAAAAGATCTGGGACTAGTAATGTTTGGTAGCACCTGTTTTGAAATGCACCGTTTGTTACGTTTTTCGATCTAAGTACACACGTACCTACTGAACACTAGGTTTAGAAGCAGTACTTAGCTCAAGCGCGAGCGGCGCTCAGCTGTAAGTAGATACTTACGAGAGGCCTTTAGTTAGTACGTACTGGGCGTTGCACTGAAGCAGGGTCAGCTGTAAGTCTGTACGTACCGGGCGCTGCACTGAAGCACGGGCGGCTGTAAGTCTGTACGTACCGGCACCGCTGCACTGAAGCGCGGGCGGCTGTAAGACTGTACGTACCGGGCGCTGCACTGAAGCGCGGGCGGCTGTAAGTATGTACGTACCGGGCGCTGCACTGAAGCGCGGGCAGGCGTGAGACGGTGCTCAGTACGCACTGGGCGTTACACTGAAACGCGGGCGGCTGTGAGTCTGTACGTACCGGGCGCTGCATTGAAACGCGGGCGGCTGTGAGTCTGTACGTACCGGGCGCTGCACTGAAGCGCGGGCGGCTGTAAGTCTGTACGTATCGGGCGCTGCAGTGAAGCGCGGGCGGCTGTAAGTCTGTACGTACCGGGCGCTGCACTGAAGCGCGGGCGGCTGTCAGTTTGTACGTACCGGGCGCTGCACTGAAGCACGGGCGGCTGTCAGTCTGTACGTACCGGGCGTTGCACTGAAGCGCGGGCCGCCGTGAGACGGCGCTCAGTACGTACTGGGCGCTACACTGAAGCGCGGGCGGCTGTCAGTCTGTACGTACCGAGCCCTGCACTGAAGCGCGGGCGGCTGTAAGCCTGTACGCACCGGGCGCTGCACTGAAGCGCGGGCGGCTGTAAGTATGTACGTACCGGGCGCTGCACTGAAGCGCGGGCAGCCTGAGACGGCGTTCAGTACGTACTGGGCGTTACACTGAAGCGCGGGCGGCTGTGAGTCTGTACGTACTGGGCGCTGCACTGAAGCGCGGGCGGCTGTAAGCCTGTACGTACCGGGCGCTGCACTGAAGCGCGGGCAGCCGTGAGACGGCGTTCAGTACGTACTGGGCGTTACACTGAAGCGCGGGCGGCTGTGAGTCTGTACATACCGGGCGCTGCACTGAAGCGCGGGCGGCTGTAAGGGGGGTATGTACGTACCGGGCGCTGCACTGAAGTGCTGGCAGCCGTGAGACGGTGCTCAGTACGTACTGGGCGTTGCACTGAAGCGCGGGCGGCTGTGCGTCTGTACGTACCGGGCGCTGCACTGAAGCTCGGGCGGCTGTCAGTCTGTACGTACCGGGCGCAGCACTGAAGCGCGGGCGGCCGTGAGACGGTGCTCAGTACGCACTGGGCGTTACACTGAAGCGCGGGCGGCTGTAAGTCTGTACGTACCGGGCGCAGCACTGAAGCGCGGGCGGCTGTAAGACCGTACGTACCGGGCGCTGCACTGAAGCGCGGGCGGCTGTAAGTATGTACGTACCGGGCGCTGCACTGAAGCGCGGGCAGCCGTGAGACGGTGCTCAGTACGCACTGGGCGTTACACTGAAACGCGGGCGGCTGTGAGTCTGTACGTACCGGGCGCTGCACTGAAGCGCGGGCAGCCGTAAGACGGCGCTCAGTACGTACTGGGCGTTACACTGAAGCGCGGGCGGCTGTGAGTCTGTACGTACCGGGCGCTGCACTGAAGCGCGGGCGGCTGTAAGCCTGTACGTACCGGGCGCTGCACTGAAGCGCGGGCGGCTGTAAGTATGTACGTACCGGCCGCTGCACAGAAGCGCGGACAGCCGTGAGACGGTGCTCAGTACGTACTGGGCGGTGCACTGAAGCGCGGGCGGCTGTGAGTCTGTACGTACCGGGCGCTGCACTGAAGCACGGGCGGCTGTCAGTCTGTACGTACCGGGCGCAGCACTGAAGGGCGGGCGGCCGTGAGACGGTGCTCAGTACGCACTGGGCGTTACACTGAAGCGCGGGCGGCTGTAAGTTTGTACGTACCAGGCACTGCACTGAAGCGCGGGCGATTGTAAGTCTGTACATTCCGGGCGCTGCACTGAAGTGCGGGCGGCTGTAAGTTTGTACGTACCAGACACTGCACTGAAGCGCGGGCGACTGTAAGTCTGTACATTCCGGGCGCTGCACTGAAGTGCGGGCGGCTTTAAGTCTGTACGTACCGGGTGCTGCACTGAAGCGTGGGCGGCTGTAAGTCTGTACGTACCGGGCGCTGCAGTGAAGCGCGGACGGCTGTCAGTCTGTACGTACCGGGCGCTGCACTGAAGCGCGGGCAGCCGTGAGACGGCGTTCAGTACGGACTGGGCGTTGCACTGAAGCACGGACGGCTGTAAGTCTGTACGTACCGGGCGCTGCACTGAAGCGCGGGCGGCTGTCAGCCTGTACGTACCGGGCGCTGCACTGAAGCGCGGGCGGCTGTAAGTATGTACGTACCGGGCGCTGCACTGAAGCGCGGACAGCCGTGAGACGGTGCTCAGTACGTACTGGGCGTTGCACTGAAGCGCGGGCGGCTGTAAGTCTGTACGTACCGGGCGCAGCATTGAAGCGCGGGCGGCCGTGAGACGGTGCTCAGTACGCACTGGGCGTTACACTGAAGCGCGGGCGGCTGTAAGTCTGTACGTACGGGGCGCTGCACTGAAGCGCGGGCGGCTGTAAGTATGTACGTACCGGGCGCTGCACTGAAGCGCGGACAGCCGTGAGACGGTGCTCAGTACGTACTGGGCGTTGCACTGAAGCGCGGGCGGCTGTAAGTCTGTACGTACCGGGCGCAGCATTGAAGCGCGGGCGGCTGTAAGTATGTACGTACCGGGCGCTGCACTGAAGCGCGGGCGGCTGTAAGTATGTACGTACCGGGCGCTGCACGAAGGCGCGAGGTCCGGGCCGAGGGACGGTGCTCAGTACGTACTGGGCGTTGCACAAGCGCGGGCGGCTGTAAGTCTGTACGTACCGGGCGCAGCATTGAAGCGCGGGCGGCTGTAAGTATGTACGTACCGGGCGCTGCACTGAAGCGCGGGCGGCTGTAAGTATGTACGTACCGGGCGCTGCACTGAAGCGCGGGCAGCCGTGAGACGGTGCTCAGTACGCACTGGGCGTTACACTGAAGCGCGGGCGGCTGTAAGTCTGTACGTACGGGGCGCTGCACTGAAGCGCGGGCGGCTGTAAGTATGTACGTACCGGGCGCTGCACTGAAACGCGGACAGCCGTGAGACGGTGCTCAGTACGTACTGGGCGTTGCACTGAAGCGCGGGCGGCTGTAAGTCTGTACGTACCGGGCGCAGCATTGAAGCGCGGGCGGCCGTGAGACGGTGCTCAGTACGCACTGGCGTTACACTGAAGCGCGGGCGGCTGTAAGTCTGTACGTACGGGGCGCTGCACTGAAGCGCGGGCGGCTGTAAGTCTGTACGTTCCGGGCGCTGCACTGAAGCGCGGGCGGCTCTAAGTCTGTACGTACCGGGCGGTGTGCTGAAGCGTGGGCGGCCGTGAGACGGTGCTCAGTACGTACTGGGCGTTGCACTGAAGCACGGACGGCTGTAAGTCTGTACGTACCGGGCGCTGCACTGAAGCGCGGACGGCCGTGAGTCGGTGCTCAATACGTACTGGGCGTTGCACTGAAGCACCGGCGGCTCTAATTCTGTACGTACCGGGCGGTGCACTGAAGCGCGGGCGGCCGTGAGACGGTACTCAATACGTACTGAGCGTTGCACTGAAGCACGGGTGGAGGAAGCGCGGCGTGTACGAGGCGACGGTGCGCCTCGGAGCCGGTGAGCGCGGCCACGGTGACGCCGGCGCGGTACGAGGCGGGCACGCGGACATGCTGCGCCCGCCCGCCGCGCTCCGCCCACCCACGCGCGCGCCATTCGCGAATCACGTTCACCACCTGGCCTGCAACGGGTTTCAGATTCATCACCATCATCATTACAGCCCTTCACAACTAACTAGAACTGCGCCAACGTGTTTCGAAAGCGGCTTAAGAAATTGGAGAGCGCAGGTATTTGCGGTTATTAAAAAGGTCGTGCATAAGAAAATGTAGAGCCTGTATTAGAGTACGGTGCAAACAATTTGAAATTTATTATAATTAAAATAACCGCTACGGAATTTTAGAAACACTCGTTACCCTACACATTTCCTGCAGATTTCCGAAGCAAGTGTCTTATTTTTGAATATTTTTTTAAGAAAAATAAGTCTAGAGAAACATGGGTAGAAAGAACCCAATAGTTTTAGAACAAAAAATTGAATTTTTTACCGTTTTAGAAGTAGGCATATTTTTAAGCCTTGGTCACCATACATTTGTTTATACCACAGGTGCTCAAATTTCGTCATTGTAAAATCGAAACTTCTAATTTTTGTTTTAAGTATTAAAAAACAGTTATAGCTAGAAATATTTTATACGCGATAGCAAAGCCAAACGTTCACGGTTCTTTCCAGAGAAAATCAATTGATTAATAATAAATATGTCGCCAACCAGTGCATGTTGCCAGTGATGACCTACGGAACCGAGACGTGGTCCTTAGCTGCTGGCCGTATGAGGACGCTCAAAGTCGCTCAGCGAGCTATGGAGAGGGCTATGCTCGGAGTTTCTCTGCGTGATAAACTTAGAAATGAGGATATCCGCAGTAGAACCAGAGTAGCCGACATAGCCCAACGGATTAGTAAGCTGAAGTGGCAATGGGCCGGCCATATAGCTCGAAGAACCGACAACCGTTGGGGAAAAAAGGTTCTCGAGTGACAGCCTCGTACCGGTAGGCGAAGTGTAGGGCGACACTCACTAGATGGAGTGACGACCTGGTACGACATGCAGGAAGTCGATGGATGCAGGTGGCTTAGGACCGTGCTTTGTGGCATACGGCATACCTTGGGGGAGGCCTATGTTCAGCAGTGGACTTCTTTTTTCTAGACTGCTGCATACATATTTTTTATTTTATTTTTTTCTGAGTGACATATGTGCCCCCACTAATACCTGCGTGTTATTCATTATTTACCGGACAGCCTATATATAGTCGGGCTGCTCTTCATCACACCTTCCACCAACAAATAATAATAATGCTTTATTTCACTAATACACAAATAAATTTAAAGCCCCTGACTCTTAATGTAGGTGAAACCGGTATCTCAGAAGCCAGAAAATAATAATATAAAAGAAATGAATACATTTTTTATAGTTATTAAAACATTATGTCTAAAAATAATATAATTTATAAAAACCGCAATCGTTAGAGATATTTATATTTCATGGGTAGGCCGGATGGCCAGTACCTGCGAGGTTATCCATTACTTACCGGACATCCTGTATATATTATTGTCAACTGTAGTTATCAAAAGCCGTCAAAAAGTCATCAAGTCTCCTTTATTAACACCTTCCTTCATTACAAAAGCACTATCCTGAGCCACCTGCATCCATACATATTACCTTTTTCCATTAACATATCTTAACGCGTGTTGATCTATCCACCCAAGACGAACGGACAGACGGAATCGATAATCGGAATTCACTTTTATTTGTTCTTCCGAATTTTTACCCCAAGTGCAGTTCAACACTTCACCTTATCAAAAAAATCATTACGTATTGCCGTTACATTTACCATTACAGCTTATTAAGAGGGCATATGCGATTTGCGTCGAAAACTTCATGTTTTAGGGTTTTTTCAAGAGCGATATCGTAACGATGACAGCAGATTATTTGCAGAAAATTACGGCTTTAGGAAGATGAAGTTTTTATTTAGTGCATTGCAATGCAAAATCATGGTTTTTAATGACGGTTTTTTTAGAGCGAAGACAATCCCTTCATAGCGCTTTACGAAAATATGCGTCAGAGTTATCTTTCAGGTCCAATACAATCATTATTTTAAGCTAAAATACTTTATTTTAAGCGTTATTATAAAAGAATATATAGTCTTTTAGTGTATAGCAAAGTAAAATAACTTAAATTACGAAAATATTTTGTTTTAATATTAAAAAACAATACTATAAAATCACCAAAACTGACCATTTCAATGTCATTTTTTTCGTGTATTGGGATATAAACTTATCTATTTTAATTATTTTATCAAAATACAGGTAATGCTATATATCGCAAAAAAAAATTTGGCTCGTTTTATTCAGTCAATTATTTTATATGGTTATTTCTAAAATACTATAAATTATCACGCGCAGACACCGTCCGATTCAGTATGCTCCGGTTCTTCCCAACGATAGCACGTATAATTTTTTCCCGCCACCGCCCGCATGCGTGTTAATACATACCGATAGCGTAAGCTAGTATTGCCAAGTGTCCCGATTTGTGCGGGACGTCCCGATTTTTAGGGGTACGTCCCGATGCACCCTTGATCGGGACGCCAAATGTCTCAAATTTTCACTAACCTCCCTAGTCTATATTTCGATCGATCATTTTGACAGCAAAATTGAAATATATCTGTAAGCTGCTACTACATTACAATACTTTTGCTTTGCATATTTTCCCACCAAACTCGGACTAAATAAGATTGCTTTGCGCGTAATGTGTTGCCAACAATGTTGCAAAAATGTGGCAAGATACAGATATCAATCATGTATTTATCGCCGGTTTGCGCTATGCATCGATGTCATTAATTCGACGGTCATTTATTGTTTCATTTTATTACTAATACTCAGTACAGTATCTAACTGCACGCTGCGGTTTAGATAAGTACATTTAGATAATAAGAAACAAGAGTAGTAATAAGAGTAGATACGATATATATATATATATATATATATATATATATATATATATATATATATATATATATATATATATATATATATATATAATACATATTGATGTCTTCTAACTTTGATCCGCATTCACAGTACCAAGATATAGAATGTACGAAATACACACAAATTAATGACTGGCAAAAACATATAAATAAAGATAAAAATGCACTACATATAATACATATAAACATATGTTCACTGAGGAAACGTTTTTACCAATTAATAGCACTCATAAAAAATTGCATAGCAGCATATACGTTATTTGTCTAACAGAAGTTAATGTAAAAAACGACGAGTTAAATCTATACAACATAGAAGGATATAACTTATACTCAAGGACTAGAGAAAACAAAAGAGGAGGTGGTATAGTGATTTATATCAAAGAAAATCTTTCTTTTCAAATACATAGTACAAGTAGTAGCCATTGTGAAATGATACACGGCATGCTGAAAGTACGAAACTACGATCTTGATATTATAGTGATATATAGATCGCCTCACACAAACAAACAACTGTTTGTAAAAGAACTGGAACGAGTAATTCAACGAATGCCGATTAGTCGGGATATAATTATGTTCGGTGATTACAATATTGATATTTTGGAAGATAAATTGGACCATATCGCTTGTAGTTATCTTAATATGTTATCATCACGAGGACTTACAGTGTGGAATTCAAGACATAACCCGCGAGGCAGTGAGTGCGGAGCGACGGACAGCCACTTGCATCGATCATGTGTCCGTTAGAACTGAGAGCGCGTCAGAGGTGCAAGCGTGTTTACTTACGAGTCCAATAGCTGATCATTACCTAACGGGACTCACCGCTGTTATAGGTAAGCGTATGCCGCAAAATTTCCGCTTTTAAATTATGATGACCCTATCAGTTTATATAGTAGAATCAAAACAATTTTTTGTAATATATATGACTCAGCGCAAATAAAAATACAGTTGAAAAAAGGGAAAATCAACCCTGGGTTAGTAAGTCGTTATTAAATATGATTGAAATTAAAGACAGTTTGTTCAGAAAGTGGAAATCAAACCCTAGTAATAATAATTCTAGATTAGAGTATACTAGATACAGAAATAAAGTACAAAAGTTAATAAATAAAGCCAAAAATGATTATAAAAAGAAAGAAATAATTAAATGAAAGGGGGATATGCGCAAAATTTGGGGAAAAATAAACCAGTGGGTCGGGAAAAATAAAACATCAGTTGATACCATTATTGAAAGATACATAAAAAATGAAAAATCTATGAAAACAATCTGTAATAAGTTTTGCGAAACGTTTACTGACGAAATTGATAATATTAAACACAAGTGTAACCAAACCTTTTTAAAAAGAAAAGAATACATAGACGAGTGTAACGTGAGCTTCCGATATAAAATGGTATCAGCTGATGATGTGATAAAAGTTATAGACAAACTAAGCTGCAACAAGTCATCGGGGTCAGATCGAATTAGAGTTCAGGATTTAAAATTTATTAAAAAAGTCATTAGTCTATTATAGCGAATTTTATTAATATGTGTATTAAAAAAAGTGTTTACCCAGAAGAACTAAAAAAAGCGATAATCAGACCTGTCTATAAGCAGGGATCGCATCAAGAATACACAAACTATAGACCCATCGCATACTTAATGTAATCAATAAAATTACCGAAAAAATTGTTGTCAAACAAATTTCAGAATTCTTAGAAAATAATGATGTTATTACAGATTTACAATATGGATTTAGGCCAAAAAGAAGCACAGACATGGCTTTAGCTAAATTTACAGACGACGTGAATAACGCTCTTAATAACCAAAACCTAGTAGGTGTTATTTTTATCGATTTTAAAAAAGCTTTTGACACACTGGACCACGATGGCTTGTTGCAGTCTATGGAAGAGTGCGGTATTCGAGGACCCACAAACTTATGGTTCCGCAACTATTTAAAGGACAGAACGTTAGAAGTCCGCATTAGCGAAACTAGTAGTGACCTTGGTAAAATCAAATATGGAGTCCCAACCGGCTCAGTATTCGGTCCAGTAGGGTACATCATTCATGTAAATGGAATGAGCAAAGTAGTACGATCATGTGAAATGTATATGTATGCTGATGACACTTGCCTAATGTACTCGTACAAAGATCCAAAGACGATACAAATAGTTATG